CAGCAGCACGGGGTCATCACATGAACCGATGCTGACCCCAGGTTTCATGCTCGTGTTCGAGACTGCAGCTCCGGAGGTCTTGCTGGCTGACCTCGTCAAGTCCAGCATCGTCACGGTTCGCAAAGCTATGGTTGCCCTCGAGGTTGCGAATGTTGCACCATTTGCAAGTGGGGCATCAATCTAGGGTACGGAAGTAGAATGTAAAAGCGCACCGAGCCGCAGCCTCTCCCATGCAGGAGGAGGAGTTTGATAAGCTGGAGAATTTGCTCGCTCAGTTGCTGAGCAGTGTGCTGGCGGAGGCACGAATTTCTCTCAGCATTTGTTTCTGCGCATGAGGCTGTGTCTTTGTTGGGTGAGTGTGGATGCCAGCTGGGTGTCCCCTTAAAGCGAAGCTGTACGGTAAGAACTTGCAGGCAGACGAGCTGTCCGACTCTGTTCTCAACATGCTTGTGGATGAAGTGAAACAGAAGACCAAATCATGGGGACCGGACGGGCACCTATAGACTGTAGATGGAGATTGGGCATGAGCGCCCTGCAGCTCTTCAAGCGCATCAAGTAGGTAACAATTCACATTGACCGTTGCAGATCGTTGCAGGACTTGTTCGACGTGTGCTGGCGACTTTGGCCCGGCACAGCGCCGTGGTTCCAGTCAATGACTTCTTGAACCGGATGTTGGCGGAGGCCTTCGTGGTTTTGAGTAGTGCTTTCCGGCTGTTACTCTTTGTTGAGGGCACTCCGCGGGTTTCATCCTTAATGTTTTGTGTGGCAAGCCTGGAAGGCCTTCAGCTTGCCTCCCCAGGGCCGAGAAGAGCTGCTTCTTCTGCCCAGCGCGACGGAACGAGTAGAAGCCATACTTCTCGTCGTGCACGAGCTCTACATGGTTGATCCCGCGTTGGTGGCACGTGTGCTTCCCAATTTGCAGGCCGAACTGGTGATTCTCGCAAGGATTTGTTCATATCGTTCCTGTGTTGTTGTTTTGCGAGCACATGCGAACCCTTCACGAAGATGTGGTGGCAGGCATCTGTGTTCATGACTGATCCATCGCACTGCTTTCCCACGACTATGTGTATCAATGCATTGCATGTAAGGAGTTCGGATGCGGGTCGCCGGAGAGCAGTCACTGCTCTTGTTGGGCACATGCTGGCACATCGTTCTTCCAGGGAGGCGAAAACTGGGCTTGCCGGCGTACGACCTCTTCTGGCAGCTTCCCATCCCCTCATTGTGGATCGACATAGAGAAAGACTGGAAGATGCGGATGATGGCGTTCGGTCTGCTGCTTTGGATGGTGCCGGTGCTGTCCTGCAATCAGCTGCATCCGTCGCTTCAACGCAGCCTGTCCCGCCCGATTGCCAGGAACTGCTTTCAGTATCTGCTGCACTGGTGACGAAATTGAAGGCCAGAAGCTTGGATCCAAATGACTCAATTCGCATGGGCACGATCAAAGTGGTCCTGGATGTCGCGGCAGAGTCCACTGCGGGGTTCACCCTCTTGGAGCCCATTCTCCAAGATGTTTGCCATCGCATCTTGGACAAGAAGGCCAAGGTCCGTGAGGCTTGTGCCGAACTGATGGCCCGGCTCTATGCCAAGCACGCTCTACCGAAATGGATCATTGGCCAAGCTGCAGAACGATTGAATTGGATACCACAGCAGCTGTGTGAAGCATACTTGGTTCTCAGCAACACTGGGATGGGCCAAGTCGCGCAGTTGGAGGACAGGGATTGCAAGCGAATGCAGTTTTCGGATGTTTTCGGGACGACATTGGCAGTCTTCGTAATCCCACTGTGTGTGCGAATGTGTCTGCAAGCTTCCGGGAACTCGGTTGAGTACTACTGAAGGGTGCCATCTTGGACTGCCAGCTCAAAGCCTTGACATGACTGGGAGATGGCGACTAACGGGTGGTGATTTTGCGAAAAGTGCAAGTTAGCTGTTCCCGAAGGAGCACATCGAGCAGCACATCCTTGGTTGTGGTGCAGGCATGGGTGCAGCCCAGCGTAGTTTGGCACTTCTTGGTTTCTACTCCTCTGCGGCCACTGGAGCGCCTAGTTCTTTGCAAGGCTTAGCCCTGCTCCTTTCCAAGAAACGGGATGCCAATGAGGCTTTCCAAAGGTTTCTGACAAAGAGGATTGCCAAAGGAGGGCCTCTAATGCCACTGCCAAGTGATGGGATTCTTGTCCCAGTCTCAGTGGGCGAAGGCCCGCGGGAGGAGGTTGTAGAGGGCCTAGCAAAGCACAGCCCGACTTTCGAGGGCAGCACCAAGATTGATACTATCATCGCCCAACTTTCTGTTTTGGATGGGGTCCGTGACAAGGCTCTTTGGTCGTTGCTGCAGTTGCTCATCAGTATATCGAGCGAAGACCACCCTGACAACTCAAAGCTGTTGGATGCACTAAAGGACTTGGACAGACTTCTGCGGGTGCACAATCTCGTGAGCTTGACACCGTTGATTCGTCGTGCCCTTCTTTGCACGTGGGTGTCACCAGATCAAGTGTCTGTAATGTTGGACCTTTGGAGTGGCAGATGGCCAGAAGCTTTCCAGCGAGATGAGGAGCCAGTGCCGCGACACCTATCTACCGCAGCGAGAGCTTGCGCTGCTCATCTTCCCAAGTTTTTTCCGGATGCTTTCTTCCAGCATACCAACCGCCTGCTGAAGATCGCTACGACCTCGGCAGAAGATGCACACGCGGGTTTGAAGGCTCTGGCAGCAGTTGCAAAGCGGATGGAATCGGTGGGTCATGCGGCTAAGTCTGCAAAGACGCTGGAACTGGGCGATGTGCTCCTGCAAGTCTGCGAGGTTGCTTGCAGCGAGACTCTTCCATGTGGGATGCCTTTCCGCAAGGCCGTGAAAGCTTTGATGCTCTTGCCCGATCAAGAAGGGAGGGCACTCGCCGCGGACAGATGGCTGATGTGGGCACAAGACAAGCTGGAAAGCGGCGAGGACAAGGTCGCGGCCTTGAGCCTTGCATCGGCCGTGTTTGAACAAGACTTCCCCGGTGGGCTATTCCACGGCTTGCATCACCGCGATGGCTTCTTGACGATGGCCCTTGGCATTCTCGCAAGCAAAGGAGAAGTTGCAACGGATCTCCGTTTTGCTTCTGCGGAGTGTGTAGTAGCTGCCGGCTCCGAGGAGGACGTTCTTGGCATTCTTTCGCTCCTGGAAACTAAAGGGAAGGCGGCGGAAGAAACTACCCCATGGTATGATCCACAGCCAGCGCAGATAGTTTGTTGCGTGTTGCGTGTTCTTCGATCTGGTCGCTTGCAAGTCTCAACAAAGCTTCTCTTGGAGCTGGCATCGCGAATGTGTGTCTGCTTAGAATCCGACAGACCCACCTGCGAAAGCGAGAAGCTTCTTGACTCGCTTCAACGACTGCAGCGTCCGTCAGGCACCAAGGTGCGCCTTGCTGATCGGCTTCGACTTTGTCTTACCATACCCTTGGTCTTTACTTTCTCACCAGTGAAGAAACACAAAGAGGTTGTGAACCGGATGCTGCAAGCTTCATTCATGAAGGCCTCACGGCGGGCGGAGGAACATCTTCTTGAGTTTGCCATTGCTTGCTTCATTCACTTTCTATCAACGGTGGAGATTTTTCGGAAGGAAATGTCCGCGCCAGCATCATCTTTCCCAAACAGCAGCAAGATGTGCAGCTTCCTGTGCGAAGCTCTGCTGCGAAGTGATTCGCAGCATTGCATGGAGTTGGCTTGGACCGTCATTCAGGTCTGTGACAGAACCTTGGATTTCGTGGATCGGGAGGAGCCTGCATCAGATGCCGTGCATAAGGCAGCAAGTGTACTTCGCTACGTGATTGAGAAGCGCTGTCCAAGCTTAGCGGGACAGGTCACAGACACACAGGTAACAAAGGGTGGAATGCCCTCCGAACTCTTCGCTGCCAGACAACTCACAGCTCAGAGGGCTTTGCCAGGCACCAGTGAACAGCATGGTGTCAAGACTGGCGAGGATGCGGGAGACGGATCTCTGCCCGATGCTATGGCGAAAGAGCCGCAAAAGGACCCGCCTAGCCCGGGCACCATGCAGACTCCGCGGAAACGCCCAAGTTTGTTACAAGCGCGGCGACGTGCTTCGCCTGAGGCTTCGGATTCTGGTCGCTCCTCAGTGGTGGCCGTAGCTCGTCCCATGGCTGGAAATGCCCTCGCCGTGCCCTCTGCCTGGAGCACTGCTTCCAAGAAGAGGCGCAAAAGCTAGGCCACACCCTGACCCTGAACGGAGCAAGTCCTGGGGTTCTGCCAAACGGTGGACGAAAAGTCAGCTGTCTGGCTGGGGAGAGCATGCGCTGACGGAACAGACTGACCAAGGACCGGGTAGGGTGCAAATGGATTTAATTGACCAGGGGTAAGCGGCAAGCGGCTTCAAGGGACAGTCTGATTCGGCAATGATGCCTTGTGTGTACAGAACTTGCAAATTCATCCAGGCTGACATTGGTGTGTGGGGGACAGTTGGCCAAAAAGCGGTTGCAAACCTTGTACTCGCATGTGGCAGTATCCTGCCTTCCACCGGTCGATATGCCACAGACTATGCCGGGTGCTTCGGATTGCTGTCGTCGTGATGAGGGATGCGTGGGATATGTGGGATCCCAGGTCCAAGAGAAGATGCGGAAACGAAAGAAGCTGAAGACTGCTCAGCTGCATTCCGTTCATCTCTTGCGTCTTTGAACTTGCTTCATTCCCGGATCTGCAGGTCGAAGGTTGTGTGGAAGGGCTGTCGTTTCTGATTGGTGCCGCAGCAGCTGCCGGGGACTGAGCTGACATCTTGTCGGAGCGGCGGTGCTACTTGGTAGATGATGTTCTTCATTGTTGGCAGATGCAGATGATACTTCTATCTACGCAGAGGGCAGTTCGAGTCGATGGGAAGGCAGACGATCTGCCAAGAGCTCGCCAAATCTGTCTTCGATTGTGCTGTCCTGAGACTCTGGCAAGATATGCTCTGCATCTGTAGAACTGGTTGTTCAGAGAGCACCAGCGGTGAAACAGCCTTACAGTGGCTCAGGATGGCAGTGCAAGAAGAGCTCGAACTCGGACGAGTCGACAACGTGAACCCCGGAGGTCGAATGCCTCGAAAGCGTGCAGTGCACAGAGAACCGAGATGCAAGGCCGAAAAGGTGAACAGAAGCCTGCAGAACACCTGCCGCGCGGGACCTTGCATGACGCCAGAAAGAGTAACAGCATGTTGCAGTTGACGTTGCAGCCTCCTTTCGGTCCCCTGTCCTCATTGGCTTTCTAGGTTGGGTATGAGGGGTGTGTCAACGCTTTGTCTTGATCAGGTCTTCAGTGTTGCATGCGCTCATTTGCGCTCATGCTCGCGGGGGCGATGCAGACGCAGCCTTCTCGCTATTGGGCTCATTGGAGGCAGGTTGGGCACTGGTTGGGCCTTTGCAACCCCGCTGACATGTAGACCCTGTGCGGGAATCTTGTCCCACCCAGGCAGCTCAGGCAGTGAGCAGTGCTGGTAACCCTCTCGGCGCTCGAGAATACCCTGTGCGGGCAGTCGCTCTTGCATCTTCGAGCCTAGGTGCAACCGAGAAGATTCCCGTGGAGATCTTTGAAGCCCTCATCGAAGGCTGCTGGTGCGCCACATGATCCTGCGCCCCTGAAAGCAATGAAAGAGCACTTCCAAGTCCAAGTTCGAGTAAGCCCGAACCTCCAAACGCCTAGCAAGCAAACAAGCAAGCAAGCAACCTCCACACACATTACCCTTTCAGCCCAGGCCTTAGCTCTGACAGTGAGTTTCGACGCTGTGCCTGAAGGCTTGGTGAGTGGGGGGCGCGTGGAAGCTGCCTTTGCTGCTTTTGATCGAATGCGGACGTGGGCGCTACTGGTCCGTCGCTCTTTTCAGTATTTTTCCAAAAAGGAGTGCCATCCTTTGACAACCTGCAGGTTCCGTCGCCGCAGCTGTACGCACAGATGATCAAAGCTTGTGGGATTGTCCGGGCCGCTTGCTTGGCCTGTCGTGCAGCTAAGTTGTTTTGTGGTCGCATCATCGCGTCTTGTGACGTGCGAGTTTGAGTGGGAGCTTGCATAAGATAGTGTGAGATGGTTCGGCGGTGCCATTGGCCTCGGTTGAAGTAGAAGCAGTGTGCCACGAACTTGATGTTGCCTTTCCACCTCAGCTACATATTGGCTTACAGCCCAATGTGGCCACTCAGTCGAGGTTGAGCGTGCCAGGCCCGCTTGCACGGAATAGCTGGTAAGAAAACAAAGCATAACTTTCGGGGAGGCTTTGATGCCCAGTGCTCGTGGAAATTCCACACGCATATTGAACCTCTGTTCCCATGGGTCGGGAGAGGCACAGGTATTAGCGTGTGCATGATTTTCAGAAAGGGAAACCAGCGGTGTTTGCTGGCAGAACTTTGGCTCCAAAGCACCTGGAAAAGCAGAGATTTTTATTGAGGCGAGTGCTCTGGCAGGCCAGCTGCTCGCGCCTCTTCAGGCTCGCAGAGTGGCGTGGCATGGACGCCCTGCAGCAGAGAGGTTGGCGAATGCCTGCTTTCATTTGGGTTAGCAGCGGCTCACTTCTGACCTTCACTCGTGATTGCTAGTCACTAGTCTGCTAGTCCAGAGGTTAAGTCTATTGTTCATGGTAGCTACTTGGACCATGTTGCTCTAGAAAGACAGCCTGATATTCTCAGGATGGCGGTTCTTACCTCTTCTGCGATGGCCACTTCATACATGTCTCGGTGAACCTGAGACTCTCGGCAAGGCTGCACGGGAGATTTGAGGTGGCATGTTCTTCGCAGGCTTGCTCGGCTTTAACTTTTGCTGCATGATGAAGTCCTTTTTGAAACTTCTGCTCGCGACGACATGCTAATGTGGAGGTTGGTGTTTGTTGGCTCATATTTCCTGAAATTTTGGAGTGAGGCTGTTGGAGTGTTTAAATGTGCGCTGGGCATATCGCTGTGCAGCACTCTGAATCTATCTCTGAACTGTCTTGGACTGCACTTAGAAACGTTGGAATGTTCTGGATTCTGGACTTGGGGGGAATTGCAACTGTGGCGGGCGGAAGGAGCCAACAGTTTGCTCGCCCCATTCAGCCACGTCAACCACAAACCCCAACCGAACTAATACCGGTTTGAGATCCCATCAGCCGAGAGCAGCTCACCATGCAGAGTCATCGTGAACATCACCGCAAGGTTAGCTTTGTCACCGAATGTCTCACCTTTTTGATAAGTGGGCCTTCGCTGATTTGATCCAAAATCGCTCCAAGGATGGTCTTGGATGCTCTGGGCGCTGGTCGGCTTTTGTGCTGTTCAAACAGATGCTGTTCAAACAGACACCCTCCATGTATGGGTGCATGCCGCATGTCTGCAGAACTCATGTGTGGATGACCGAGGGACGGAGGGTGGTCCGTTCTTCGCATTTCCATAACTTGCAGCTCTGTGTTGATGGGGTCTTGCAGTCTTTGCTTTCTGCTCTGCCGGTTAATCTTTACTTAGGACTCCAATGCTCCACCAAAGCTGCAACCCTGCGACAGTGTTGGATCCGGCCACTGGTTCACTGTCAAAGAGGATGCTTGGGAAGCTCCTATTTGCGACTCTTGGCCGCAGCTTGAAGCAGCTGTGATTCTGTGGCACATGCAGAAATTTGTAGTGGGTCTCCCTCCCGCGATATGCCCCGTTGGACTACTAGCTTGTCGAATATGTTAGATTCCAGCCAGACATGTAGGTTGTTCGATGCCTTGTGGCAGGTCTCCCTGACCGATGATGCCAGTGAAATGGAAGGTACTTATGTGGACCTACACGTCTGGGTATCCAGAGGCGCGGCAGGTGAAGTTGATCTCAGCGGCTAGCGTGTTCTGCAGAGCACACCAAAGCTTTGATTGCTTGCGCCCTGACGGCGTCACAAGCTGTAGCTGACAGGGATGGTGCGCTGCGACGGTGTGGCTGGAGCTGAGTCGAGACCGAGCTTGTTCACAACGCAGTGTGCAGGCAGGCCCTGATTCAGGGTGCAGGCAAGATGTGCAGACGATGCTGAAGCGAGGTGTCTCCAGTCGACCAGCAGCCATCGTGAAAGAGTCGTGCGAGTTGCATACGGATGGGAACCTGCGCGCAAGCCTCCGCGAAGCACGGAGCTGCTTGGAGACCTTCGGCATCACATTGAGTGTAGAGCCTCATGCTAGGCTCCTGCAGTGTTAGTTGTTTGTGTGTATGTGTGGCACAGAATTATTTTCTCAATAACTTGCTTACATTGAGCAGTGTGCCAAGTGACTCAGCTTGATTGAGCATCATTGGCCTCGTTTGGGAAGCTTTGATTGCTGATCTGTCTGCTGAGGAACTTGGTGTACACTCCTCCTTCAAACTTCAATGGTGGCTTGACGTGATTGAGTCACAGTTTCGAGGTCATAAGCAATCACCCTCTTTGCTACATGAGCCCCAACGATTGATTAGCCCCATGTTAGTGCAGCGCTTCGAGATTACTATGTACTTGCCACAAATGACGCCTTGGTGTGATGTTGCACGGTTTCACCAGGTGAGGTGCAGATGCGCATCACTGTCTCGGATACTTGGCTCAACATTGGAGTCGCTTGTGAACGGACGTGGCAACATGTCTGATACCGTGACGTCTTGGCAGGCAGGTTTCGTTTGGTGATCGTGAATTCCGTTCAATCTCTGCAGCTTATTCGGCTCCACTTGTTGCAGACAGGGTAGCAGAGCTTTGGTGTATGCTGTACTGGATGCTGCGACTGTGCACCGGCTGAATCGTAATTTAGTATTTGTCATTGCTTGGGTGCCATGTCCGATCATGGCCCTGTTCTGCTGTCCGGCGCAGCAGCCCCGAGCAGACTGGCCACAGCGGGGTACTGGACCGTAGCATTAGGCCACCTTTGGGTCTTACGCATCCACGCGCTCGCCACAGGCGCGGACGCGATGTTGTTTGCAACCCTGGCTTTGGTCGAGGTTGCGCTGGCTTTGGAGGCCGCGGTTTATGCCATAGGCAGCCTGGGAACCAGAGTTGGACTTCCCTTGTTGACACTTCTTGGTCGCATTCGTCTGCTGGGAGCTGCAATGGCTTGGCCGTGGCTGCTCCCGTGGGTCTCCGAGCTCAGCTGCCGTTGCCGAGTCGTCTCTCCAGGGCATGGCGTCATGCTGGTACATGTCACGACCGCGCTAGCCGGCTTGATGACGGTCTTCTATTTCTGGGGCGAGGTGCAGCTTTTGGTCTTTGCATCTCCCGCCTCGAAGGCGAGTGACTCGATGGGATGCCTGCCAAGTCCAGTCCTCGGAGGCCAGTTCCGCTTGGACAAAGCAGACCTCGAGGAGACCGGCAGAGCCGTCTTCGTCCCTGCGCAGGGTCAGGCAAGGCGAGGCCTCTACGCAGGAGCTGGGCTGGCCTTGCTTGGGCACCTTTGCTTCGGCCTAACTTTTGCGGCGAATACTGGTTTCCCGCCCTGGCTTCTGCTGGGTGCTCTTCTCGTGATGCTCGGCCGTTCATTTGGACAGCTCCCAGCCACGTTGAATGGCCAGGAGAAAGGTGCTCTCAGCGACTGGAGAATCCTTTGGCGACGTGAGGCTCCCCGTTTGGTGGTTCGCCTGTGCGAGTTGATTTGGATTTGGTGCTGTGTGTTGGAGCTGCAGAGGTGCGAAGTCTCCGGTGACTGGCTTCTGATCTGTGCGGCATAAGACATTTCTGCCTGAAGCGCTAGATTTCGTGTTAGGTGGGCTTGGTGTATCATGTGCCCAAGCAAGAAGCCTCGTCGAGTTTCACAGTTCGTACTTCTACTCCAGAACAAGACTGGCATGACTCAGAGCACAGGGAGTCACAAGACCATAGAAAAGAGGCAATACTATTACTGCGAAGGTCGATTTTGTCACGAGTGTATTCCAACTTTTCTGAAACGATTGACCTTAGGACAATGGGTTTACTGGCTCGTTGCAAGCTGCGGCCGGTGAGATCCGGACCACAACCGAGCTGGGTACGATCCAGGCAGGGTCGGGCTTGCACTTTTGCGAAGTTGAAATGTGATGCCACTGAGATTTTATGGTTGTTTCTGGGCTTTTCAGAAGCCTGACTCTGTTATTGTATGCTTGGCAGCCCTCGGAGATGCCAGACGTTGGCCTTAGTGTTTCTGTGTCTGTCCTTCGGACGTCAGTTGCAGAGACATGGCTCCCGTGTATCTTCGAAGACGAGATCTATATAGTGCGCGAAGCCAGCTTGTCTGCAGGTAGATGCTGTGAACGACATGCCATACCTTACCTGGGTTACGCTGCCGCCGAAGGACGGCTAGTCTGCGTTCGCCAGGTGTTCATGTTGTTTCATGTTGTGTACTGTGGTGTTGGTTGGTACTCGTATGTGCTGGCACTGTCGGTATGTGCCTTTTTGAAACTCCCGGAAGGAGATGCTGAACAACGAGTCCTTTCCATTCCAAGGCCGCGCCTGATTTCGACTTGCTGATGTTTTGCAAATGACAGTCCGGGAGGGCTTCGCATACACGACCCTGATGTCGTGGGCTGGAAGGCGGAAAGGAGATTGCACTCTTACTTGCACGACCGATTGTTAATTCACCACCAATCGCGGCACAAGAGCTGGGTTCAGGACCGACAGCTTCACACTGACGTTTGACACACTTGGTGGAGAGATCTTTTTCCCACTTGGTGAGCCCCTTCTTCGCGAGCAGGCGCTCTGCGCTGCCCTGTCTTCATGCTGTGCGCCAGATCTGCTTCATTGCAGGTGCCTGCTCCTCCACATCGGAGCAAGTACGTGCGCTTACAAGGGAATCTCAGTGCTGTGCAGGCCCGCAATAACGTAACGAGAAAGTGGGGCCAGCCAGCCTGATACAATAAAATGCATCGTCTATGCGGCGAAGGGGCCTGTCTAGGGCTACCGAAGAGCATCAAAGTCATGTGCGAGAAACTTTTGCTTAAGCACACTTGCTGCTCAGGAGTCTTGCGCAAGGTTCATCTACAAGCCTCCACCCGGATTTGTCGGTGAAGACA